TCTAGCCTGTTCATGTCTGTGCATGGATGTGCCCCTCCAGCCCTGCACTGCAGCGCAGGCAGAGAGGTAGCTAGCAGTCGGGGACTCACAGAACTGGCCCTGCACAAGCATGCCACCTAGTCCTGACTTGACACATCCACGGAAAAGCTTAATGCTGCAAGTCCTGTCTGAGCAGGAAGTTATTAAATTGGCATTGCAGGAGAACTTAGTCACAGCGCAGACAGCAGATCCCTCAAGAGCTGGTAATGAGTAAAGATGCAGTGCTCTGGGATGCCATCTGGGGATCTGTTTTTACTCGGGTGTCCTGAACTAGAGGTGGAAATTGGGCTCGCCAGTGAGTCAGATGTGCCTGTGTCATCCCAGCTGACAGTGGTACAGGGATGGGAGGAATAACAGATGATCCTAATCTCTGCTGTCACAGTATTGCCTGACTCCTGTCACACACCGGAGCTTGTGCACAGGCAGGAGGGGGGCAGGGAGGGGACAGAGGGAAAGGAGCTGGCAGGAAGGAAAGCCAGTGTGCTGTGATGCAGCTCAGCTCTGTGTCAACGGTAAAGCTTGCTGGAGGCTGCCAGCCCTGGTCTTTGCACAGGAGCTGGTTGGGGGGAGAGAGGGCAGGAAGGAAAGAAAATGCTGCCATAAAGAGAATGACCTCCTGTCCCAGCTGATCTCAGCCCTTGAGTTACCTCCATCCATCCCCTCTGTGTTTTCCTCCCTTTTTCATTGCACACCTCAAGGAAAGGATGAAGAGACTGGGAAAGGATGGAGGGTGCATGCTCTCCCTGCACAAGACCCAGAGGATACCAGGTGATGCAGTCAGTGACCCCACTGGTCCCCAAGTAATGCAAAGCCCCAAGCTCTAGCTGGCTTGCACAGCCTCAGCCAAGAAAGCAGCATTTCTCTAAGGGACCATAAGTAGAGAGGAACTGGCCCCAGAGGTTCCCAAAAAAGGGCTGGACAAGGCAGAGGGAGGCCCTGACACAATTGGTGCTCGGCCCCATCCCCACAGCCAGTTCTGCTGTGACTCACTTTAGTCCACTGCTGGTTTATCCCTACCATTCCAACCAGAGGAAGGGCACACAAAACCCTTTTGGGACCACAGCATTCCCCTTAACCCATATCCCTCCTCCTCCTCCCTGCCTCCATCTGTAGCAAAAGCCCCACTGGCAGCATGAGGCAGGGATTAGGGTGAGACTAATGTGGGAGCCCTGCAGCCACTTCCCCCAAGCATCAGAAAAGACATCAGAAACCTTAAATCAAATGCAGCTAAGTACAATTGCAAAGCTGCAGGCACAGGCCTGAGAGAGTATTAAGCAGCATTATCGTGGCTCGGTGTACTGCCAGTAGTGACATTACCGCAACTTAAAATGTTTGGGATCAGAACTGCAGAATCTATTCTTTTCTGTGGGTTTTGCCTGGGCTGCATTTCCATTTTTCTGAAGAAAATATCTGTTTGGCTTAAACAACCTTCCACACTTTGCTGTTCAGCTGTCTGGGGCTTTTCTTGCCTCCCTGCTCCCCATCATACTTCAAATGCAAATATTTTGCCCTCACTGCAACATCCTGAAAGAGCATCCATGATGAGTCCAAACATTTTCCTTTACCTGTCCTCACTACCAGGTTGCCTTTATTCATTTCCTTTTCCTTTTTTCTCCAGTTTTCCTTTCTGAAGTTGAATGACACTGTACTCGTCCTGAGACTATTGAGCTTAATCGTATTTTCTCATCATTGGTGAATAGCTCAGCTATAATTATGTCTGTAAGTGTGTTACTTAGGACTAACCTGAGAGCAGCATCCCTTCCAGGATGCTAGGTTATCAGCTGCTCTGAGGTGCTGTTATTTAAGGTGCTGAACAACAGGGTCCCACAAAGCTTGTGCTGAGTGCTTGCCAAATGCCACCTGTCTGGGACTCATATCTCTAGCACTAGTGATGGCCCAGCCTCTCATAAGTAGTCCAATCACTAATTACAAAACCTTGAACTGTGGTAGCAGAAAAAAATCCTGGAGAGAATTAGGGTTTATTTGCCTTGCATTAAAACTACCATCATCTGCTGCTGAGAGCTGGAGTCAGTCCTGATCTCTTCCATATGCTCCACATGCATCTATCCTCCACGGCTGGTGGATGTGCTGAAAGACAAAGGGTGAGGATGAGCTTCCTGGCCCAACTCTCTTGCCTGGATATTAGATTTTAGTTGACCATGACACACCAGTGCCTATGGTCAACTTGCCTTAGGTATCAGTGTTATCACTAATGAGATGGGAGCCAGCCTCTCTAGTGCATCCTTCATCCTTCCAGGGCAGCAGCAGAAGAGTGATGGCTCTTGGCTGATAGGAGAGGGGAATGGAGCACCCCATAGCACAAAGAGGACATCCTGCTCCTTCATTTTAGACAGGCTGAAAAAGGGCTTCCCCCTTGGATCCCTCTGAAAACCCACAGTTGATCTCAGTGGTAGTTTTTCAGACCTGATTCACGACTCTTCTCACCCATTAACTTTATACAAACTATTTCAGTAAATAGGAGATATAAGAGGAAAGAAAGTCTTCTTTCATTTTAAATGCATCAAAGAAAATTTGAAAGAATCATCTGAACATAAAAATTATTCCTTAAATGATCTAATTTTCATGTGTCACAGGTAACATTGTATGCTGTTCAGACTAAAACAACTTTAAGAATCCAGTTTACTTGTCTCCAGTACACTATGTTTTTAGCTTACTTTCCTCAGGAAATGGGGCTTACTTATGTGATTGTACTGTTTATCTATATGTCATCACTCCTACACTAATAACTTTTGAACGTGTTGGCCAATTCCAACCAAATCTGACAGAGTGATAGAGTTTTCAAAAATACTGAAATCTCACAAACTTAATGAAATACGTGGATGGGCACATATTTCCCCCCCAAGGGAAAGGCTGCATAGTGAACTCAGCCATGTTATTAGACAGGAAAGAATACATACATACACATACATGCACATACACAGACACATACCAGTGCTGTTATAAAATCCCCAGGTGTTGGTAAGCCAGAGCTCACGCTGGTATTAGACAGAGGATATTGTACCCTTGAGCCCCAGAGCCACCAAAAAGAGCATTGGTATTCCTCCACTAATGCACCTACTGCCTATGTTGTGCATTTTTTTCCATTTGGACAATGAAAATTGGGGTGGACAATGCAGGGGAGTGTTTATTCATTTAGAAGCTTTAAAATTAATCAGACTTATTATATGGAAGCCTTTCTAGCTGGTTCTAGGTTTGTAAAAGCTTGTTATCTTTTGGTTCTGTGTGCTGAGAGACTGTCTCTGCAAAAGCCCTCACAAAAGGGAAGAGCTTGAGCTGAAAGATCACAGGTTTCAGACTGGCATATTGAAGTCCTTGGGCCTCTCCTGAGTGCAGCTGAATCGCATACCCAAGACACCCTCCAAGACCTTGGGGCTGAGCCTGTTCATATCTCTTCCAATTCCCACTCTTGTGGTTTTCCAGGACCATTACCACCTGGGGATGGAGGATGTTAGGTTCTTAGACCTGGCATCCCACAGCGAATTAGATCTCCACATTGCCAGGATTCAGGCATTTCTACTGAGGCATTCACATTCCCAGATGACAGGGTAAAATACGGTCTTTCTGTTGCTCTGTAGTCTGTTTCCTACCTGGCAATCTAGTGGGATTTTTTTTTTTTTTTTTCAAATCTTTGACAATTTGGTACATCAGCTCAAAAACATCATCAAGCCCAAATATGCTCACAAATCAGACCTGGGAGTCTCATTCATATTGCAGATAAGTCATCATCAGACATGCTGATAGTTTTCAAGTGTGAGTTTGCATACAAATGATCCAGACCCAACAACTAATACAGCACAGGAGACTGAGGAGGTACCTGGGTTTTGGCTTAGCCCTAGACCCTTTTCCCCAGCCTGGCTGCTATATGTAGCATTTGCTCATAAAAGAGAAAGGAATGATCATACAAAGAGCCCTGAATTCAAGAGAGTAGCCTTTCCTCCTCAGCTCACCTCTTGTCTAGGAGCTCACTGAAAATCACGATGCTCCAGACACATCTTGGGAGCCATCTAGAAGGTGCTCAGTTGTCCCTGCTTTGAGCTGGGAGCTGGACCCTATTTCAAACTAAATTAGATATTACTCCTTTCCCCCATTCCTTCCTGCTCATTTTCAGCCAGATCAGGTCCATGCACTGAATCACTGAGCAGTTCCATGATGGCTACAGCCAGCCAGGGGAGGAAGAGGCTTCTTGAGGCTTGTAAGGATTATTTGGGCACCCAGATCTGATACTTTCTAGCAGAGACTCAGGCAGGGCAAACCCTCCCCAGGCGTCAGCTGCAGACAGTGATTTGACTGCTTTTCTACTCAAAACCTCTTTTGGGAACAGAAATAGCTGGGAATCCTCCCAGTGCAGGCTAACCTGGTTGCCTAAGATGGTTCCTCTTGGCTATAAATCAGACAGGATAGGAGCAAACAACATCTTAGGAGCTCTTCTGCTAAGGGTATAATCCTGCTTATTAAAGAGGCTAGGGAGAAATGGAGCAAATAACCCAATAGCTCCTAAGTGACAGCTATCAGCTTGTGAGCCCCACACCGTGACCCACAAGTGTAATCCCACCACGGTGCAACCACAGGCTACACTGCTCTGGGTGACCCTGCATAGCCTTGGTTGGGAAGAGTGTGCATCCACAGCCCACTTGGAATTAGCAGGAGGACAAATCAGCTTGTATTTCCCCATTTTGAACACCACCTATGAGACCTGGACAAGCCCAGCAGCTTGGCTTTCCAGGATGCTGCCTTCTCCCACTTTGTGGTTCAGCCAGCACCAACCACTGCCTGCACTGGCAGACACCCACAGCAATGCTTGTCTGCCTCCAGCAGCTTCCCTAAAACATTCCACTGAGCACCTAGACTGCAAAAAGTCTTTTTCCACTTCTCCCATAAAACCACAGCCATCGGGGCAGGACCTCTGCTGAGACATCATGTTGGGATGGAGACCACCTTACCTGGATGCTGCGATCTCTGCTTTCTGCTTGGCGATGGTGGCTGCCCTCTCAGCTGCCTCGACAGCCTGATCCACCTTCTCACGGATCTTGCTGGCCCGCAGCGGGATGAGGTTCTTCCTCTTGCCGCTGACCAGGATGTTCTGCTTGTATTTTCCCTCCTCTTTGGTGCCATCAGGGAACGTCATGCAGCCGTAGCCATGGCGCTTGTTGTTGGCCCATTCTCCCTCGTACTTCATCCCATCCGAGCGCTGGCTCACCCCAAAGCCCGACCGCTTGTCGTTCTTCCATTCGCCAACATAGATCTCAGTGGTGGTGGCGTCAATGTCATCTTCGATGACAGAGAGCTCAGCTTCGCCCTCACCCAGGCTAATGGTGGAGTTGATGTCACTGGCGGTGGAGCTGACCGTGCTCATTCCAGCTTCACTCCGGAAAGAGCTCTGCTTGCTCCGTTGACTGGCCAAGGATCTCTTGGACTCAGACTTACGGAGCTTGAGCCCACTCAGCAGCGACCGTCGGAAGATGCCCTTCTTCTTGCTCTTGAGGATTTCAGCATCGCTATGGGCCATGAGGACAAAGCCACACCGGGAGACGGCAGAGGTGCCGGCCACTGCTGGCAAAGAGTCAGGGTGCAGCGTCGTGCCATTAGTGTGTTCACTGCGCAGGGAGTTGATAGACGTCCTCAGGGGTGACCTGATAACTGCAGCCATGCCGTAGGGAACGCTCTGCCTAACGCCATAACCCTGGCGCATCCCTCCGACCCACTGGCCCTGGTATGTCCCTGGGAAGAGGAGACAAAAGCAAACGGGCTTCATGGCATGGCATCCTGTGGAGCACTAATGACATCAAACTGCTCTGCAAGCAGTTAGTGGGAGCAGCAAAGTGCAGCTCAGAATCCCAGTCCCATCTCCATGACAAGGATTGTAATGTCACACTGTGGGAGGAAAAAATAACATCTTGGTTGGATTGCAGACTTGGACTCCAGCTGTAGCACAGAAATATTAGAAACCAGCCAAGGTATCCCCAAGCAGGGAGTGATGCTTCAAGGTACTGTCCCTCATTTCAAAGGGAAGGAGTGGGGAGATGGGGTAGGGGAATTGTTATCCAGGAGCAGAATCCAGTCCTGTCCACTGTCCATGCTGCCAGCAGTGATCAAAACAGTTGGTATATTACAATGCATTTATTTATATACATAGTGCCTTTCATCCAGCATGTAGCGGAAGGGAGCTGCTCTATAGAAATAAAAACCTCATGGTGAGAGATCCATTTGGTTATTCTCCTTGGAAATGTGCCCCTGTTTGAACTCCTACATTTGTGTGGGCACTTCCTGGAGTTGCTTAGTTGGTCATTAGTGGGATGAAAAACACACACTGTAGCACTGCAAATGGAGTCACAAGAAATCCACACAGCCAAGGAAGCACAACTGGAGCTTAGCATCTGCCCTGTGCACTGAAATGTCCACTGGTAATCTTCCCCATGGTTTGTAATCCCTTCCCCTCCTGGAGCTCAGTGATTGTCACACTTTCACACTTCATCCCAGCTGGTTGAACTGTGTGGCTTGGTTTTATTCTTAGGATGTCTTAATCTTCCCTGGACTAGCTGAAAATGCAGTGACGGGAGGTGTCCCTGCCCACAGAGGGGAGGTTGGAACTATATGACCTTAAGGTCCTTTCCAACCCAAACTATTCTATGATTCTGTGATTCACTGCCTGCCTAAGCCCTTGCAGGGCAGATGGATGAGCCCAGGGATGTCTCCTTGCCTGGCACTGGTGCTGCTGGGATACTGTAGCTGGTCCCAGCCCTGGGCTGCCCTGCTGCTTCCCAATCCTGGCTGGCAATGCCAGGAGGGATGCAGGCAGCAGCATCAGGGCCTTCCTTCATGCCAGCCCTACTACCACACACCAAGGGAGTCTTAAAATAGGCATGCTGAAATAGTGAATCCTGTGTGAATACAACTAAAATGGCCCAGATGAAAACAGCCTGGATATCTACCACTGGCTCAGCCTGATAAAGGCTTTCCATCCCCTCTTTACACAAGATGCTCTTTGCTGTTAGCAATCAGGCTGTGATTCAAAGACATGAGCAGCCTGTTAGCTCTACCTTGGCCAGCTCTTTTGGCTGCAAAAATATTGTTCCCTAAGATCTAGCCACTTTGCTACAGTGTTTCCCTCTCAACGCTTTCCAACAGCCCAGCAGAAAGGATTATTAAAGCAGGCTGTGTTGACCATGACCACCCCCAGCCCAGATGAACCCCACTCTCACTGCAAGGAGTGAGAGTGGGGTTCTCACAGCTATGCATCCTTTTGCTCCATTTCTCATCCCGATCCCGCCCCCAGGACTCCCTTGGGGTTTCTACTACCAGACCTCTGGGGCTCAGTTCTGAGTGTCTGGCTACTCAGCTTTGGAGATGGGTACGGGCTGGAGCAGCTCACCCTGAGCACAGGAAGTGCTTTCCGAGAGCGTGAAACCAGCACCCAGGCACATTTTGGAGTGAATTTTGGGGTGCATTGGCTGTCTTACTGAATAGTTGCCAGTGCTTTGCACAAATCCCCTAGAGGATGGGATCCTTCCCAGTGCTCCAATGCAAGCAGTGCCCCCAAGTTGCCACATTATGTGGGTGACAGCCTTGTGCACCCCAAAACAATGCTGGCGGAACCCACAAAGATGTCCTTGGAGAGCAGACATGGAGAGGCAGGGCCAGGTGGGCAGTATTTACTGAAGGGTTTATAGGATAAGCACATGGGGAGGGAGGTAGAGCACTGGGATTATGGAAGGAACTGGCAGGGCAGGGTGAGGAGCTGGTAGCAGTGTTGGCAGGGAGAAGAATGGGGGACAACTGGCAAGACAACTGGCAAATAGCTCTCAGGAAAC